AGAGACATGATGTGCGTCAGTCAGAGTGAAGAGTCTGCCAGCCATCAGCTCAAGCACCAATCACAGGCTGCCATTCACAGCATCCCTAAATCTTCAATGTTTAGGCGTCACATGCATCCTTGTAACAGTGAGTCCGAAGTGAGTTTGATGCCATCAGTGAAAGTCCTTATTCCTGATGTTCGTTGGTGACTATACATTGGGACAAATATAGAGCTATGGAAAAACACTGGAATGGCACAGTGGCTCAGTGGTTAGCTTTAAAAAAAAGGATGTTTTAGTACCTTTCTGGACTTGCTGTCTATGGAAGTTCAGAGAGTTCCTGGATTTATTCCAAAATATCTTAATTTGTGTTCAGATGATGAAAGAAAATCTCAGTGGTTTGGGACGAAAAAAGGGTAATTTTAAACAATTTTCATTTTAGGTTGATTTGTGCCTTAAATTACTACTAATTACTAATATGTATATTAGTATATTTGTAGACTGGTTCTTAATAGACCATAAATTAACATTTCACATTTAAAAAAAGAGAATATATGTTTTTACCTGGAAATTGCTAGGTTTATTCTCAGGTTTAAAATAGCTTTAAAATCAGACTGTTTTAGTTCAACTCTGAAACACAAGTTCTATTCAGTTTGCCTCTTTTTGTTTGTCCATTTATTTTAAAGATTAGATTCTGTGACAAGGGTCATCCTCTCTACAGCAATTTAGACAAACAAGTTATTTGAGATGCCATCTCGAATCAGTCTGGTCAGTCTCATCTGACCACCGATATTAACAAAGCATTTTTGCCACTCACTGAAGTACTGCCACTGACTGGATTCTTTCTCTTATTCTGACCAACCTCTGATAATCCAAGAGATGATTGTGTGTGAAAATCCCAATACGTAAGAAATTTTTGAAATAGAGCCAATAACACAATCTAACTCCCTTAAAGTCAGCATAAAGTCAAAATGTAGTCTTTTACTTGTTATAAATGATGAATCTGTTGTGATCGTGATGTAGCCCTTGTGGTTCACTGGAGAACACTCTGTCATTCACCTAGACTACATATCCCATCGTGCCCTACAGTGCCCTACTCCCGATTACACTGCTGACGCTCTTTGTGACTGATTACATGGACTATATATACACCACACACACACACATTCAAAGTCTGAATTCACTGTAATGTTTATGTTTTCATTGCCTTGCCATGTCCTGTTTTTGACCCTTTGTTTGTTTATACTGTTTATGATTGTTTGCTTTCTGCCCTGACCTTTTGCCTGTTACCTCATTTACTCTTTAAATTATCCACATGTTAATGTCTGCTCCCCTGTGGAACTTTGCATGCCTGACTATTCTAATAAAGCTGCATTTTGATCCGACCCCTGTCGTCAACCCCATAATTACAGTATCTGTGCACATTATTTTTGCTCTCATAACCTTTAATCAAAAATCATAACCTTCCCTTCCCCCTCAAAACAGCTGCCTTTAGGACAAGGCTTTCAGGGTGTGTTTTGTTTCAGCACTGCTTTCGTCCATTTGTCAACCTTCCTCCATTTTGTTATCAATGCCAATGATCCAATAACTTCCCAAAAGGATGGAATCATGCACACCTCTACATTTATTTCTCATTTCAGGACTGTTTTAATCAAATCTATCCTAACTTCAGTTTCATGGCGACTTTTTATCACATTTCTTCCTCATTCTGATGTTTGGTTCGAACATCCTCAGATTCTATTAACTACATCGGTGTGACTCAATGCATTGAGTTGCTCCTATGCAATTGGCTGATTAAAAATGTTCGTTAATAAGCAATTGGACAGCTGTAGCTGATAAAGTGTCTACTGAGAGTCCTGCAGCACCTAACTCTGATAACCCACAGTGCCCTCTGAGAGCTGTTGCACCTTTTTTTCTCCATTATTGCTGGGTTCATACTGACCCACCTGTCCATGGGGAACACACATGAGTGACTGTGAGCTTGCTTTAATCTGTGTGTGCCTGGGGAGGCTGCAGGTGGCTGAGACCACAGCGGAGTCGATGCCAACAGTACACTAAACCACTCCAGCACTCACACATCTTCAACTCAGCTGCCTTTTTCAATACAGCTGCAGATTTCACAGAGAGCCGCATAAGTCGGATGCCTAATTATTTGATTTTCTGTACGGTCTGTGCCTACACGGTACTGTACACACAAGAAAATACGGTCCCACTTAATATTAAGTGTCCCTAACTACTACGTACTTACATCAAAAAAATAAATACAATGTACTTAATGTGTTTATAATGTATTTGAGAACACTTGTGGTGCTTTTGAGTTGGGATAGAGGTTGGGTTATGGACAGGTTTGGTGGCATGGGTAGGTTAGGGTGTAAGGGATGGTCAACCATGTATTTACAAATGTAATTACATACATGTATTTAATCAAGCATAAGTACACAGTAAATACATGTATTTACACTATGTACATGTAACAAACTATTAATTCCTATGTAAGTACATATAAGTTAAGGCCACAATATAAAGTGGTACCGAAAATACTGTATATTAATTATCATCAAAGTTGTCTTTCAGCCACACATGAAAAGAAAAATTGTTGATGAGTAATTAATAAATTATTGATTAGTCTATCGTTTTCAATGTGTTTTTTTTTATTTCTCGTTTTATTCTTTTGACTGCAAGTTGAATCCTACAGTGAAAGAAAAAGGTTCTGAGAAAGAATTTGCACCAAGGCTACATTATTTATTTGATTGAATAGCTTAAATGAGCAATATCACAAGAGTAGTGGTAAGCTATGGCTGCTGTGAGTCAGCCATACATTTCAAAATTTACATAAAATCAATAAACCAGCAGAGTTCTGTCTGTATTACTGTAACTCATATGGGAATTCACCAAAAGTAACCCATAAAAGCAAAAGCAACCATAAATCGGGCTCAGCTTGGATTAGTCTCATCTTCACACAGCTTTGGTTTGAATGTCCACTGAGAAAAACTAAAATCAGACTTTCTATCTCCCTGTGTTAATACACATTTTGTTTTTGTATTGAATGAGAAACAATTGATAAAAATAACACAATTCTAAATCCCTTAATTCACAAACTATTTTTACGCATATTTGAGAGGGTTTAAGTGAATAATGGGAGATGCAAATGCATTTGCAGAATAAACTCAGATATAGTGATCATTATACCCACTCCATTATGCTTACCTTGTTTACTGTTGGTTGGTAGGTTACCAATACTACAGTCAGCCACTCTAATGATCTTTTTTAAGTGACAATCTTTGAAAGATTCACTTTGTGTTGTGATGAATATCTGGCTGATGTCTTCTTTCAAACGTAATGAGGATTTCTCATGACAATGCTGGTTTAGCACCCACTTTGAATATTATCACTCAATAGAATGGGCACTATCAGTGGTTATCAGCTGATAGATATGGGCCTGAAAGGGGCCTTCTGTGCCTAATAGTAAGCTCAGAAGGCTGTTATTATTCATCCACATGGTTAATCAGCTACACCAATAGAGAAGACTCCAAATCCAGATCGGTTTTTACATAACTGTGACGTTTGGGTTTGTTGGGGTGGAGGTAGACGTTAATAAAATACAATTAATGTGAAATTTAATAAATAATATAAATAATTCATGTTAACTTCTGGCTGCTGCCGTATGTGATCTATAACTGATTAACCATGTGGATGGATGATAATATCTATCATCTGATAACTACTGATAATGCCATTCAATCGAGTGATAACATTTGAATCGGCTGGGTTTAGACTCCAGTCAATAAAATAGGCTCTGGGCCCTGTCATACACCCGGCGCAATAAAGTGCAAGACATGCATGGTGTGATTTGTTTCTATTTTTAGATCAGTGCAACTCTAATTTTCATGTTTTGCACCGCAAAAACAGCAAACTTTTTTTTGAACAGCAAATTTATCCATTCAATCCATTTTCTCTCTAGTGAAGCGTTCAGTTTTTCCACCTACAAAGTTCGCCATGAAAACAGCAAATGTGCCGTGAAGGGAATGTGAGATAAAACTCTGGTTATGCTCAAAACACACCCATAACTCGTTAGGAAAAAAGTTGGACCAAAAACCTGTATTTTTCCATCCTTAAAATAGCAAATGTGGATTTGGACACGCTTTTAATGATTATGCTCCATGCGCCTAAATTATTTAAATAGAGGCCTTTAATGGCTGAAAAATGCAGTCAACTGTCAATTGTACTTACAAACAATAACTATTTTTAATAAGACTATAATCTATGTACAATATAATTTATTGAGCAATGATAAATAATGATACAAACCAGGGTTTCTTAACCATGTCCTTGGAGGACCACCAACACAGCATGTTTTGTCTGTCAAACCCATATCTGGTCTTTCAGTCTTCGCTAATGAGCTGATGATCTGAATCAGGTGTGTTTGGTTAAGGAGACACTGGAAAAATGTGCAGAACTGGTGGTCCTCTGAATGTGGTTGTGAAACACTGATATAAACAATTATGTAACAATTGTTTGCCAATAAGTCAAATAAACAATGGGGATTTTTTTAAGATATGATGTAATTTAAAGACAGTTACAAGACTAATGTTGCACACAGTCAAATTAATTTGCTTTGTAACAAATAACAAAGGATAAAGACCAGAATAGCTGTTAGATATAGCCAATATGAATTCAATTTCATTTTTAACCAATAATAGAGACCTAAATCAGATTCCAGAATAAGTGTCTGAGGTAAGGACACTCTTGCCTTGGAACGCGAGCAATTATTTGGCCACTGAAACCCTGGATTTCCTAAATCTTCTTATTATAAGATTAGTTGTAAGATTTCTTATAACAGTGTCGCAAACTTGCAAAGCAAGAATATTCTATTTAAATAATTCAACTTTAAAATTATTATTTAAAGTCACAAAAAGTAAACATCACTATAAAAGGTGTCAACAATTTGACTCATATTACAGTGACTTTTTTAAGGCCATTCTTTCATCTGAGTTCCTCAGAGATACCGACCAACATCCTTTGCCAGTTTCCTGTAACCATAGAGATAGTGAGTTCAGCCAATCCCCAGGCAGGACCGTGTGGAATGTTTTCCTGAACTCTCTATGAATTTCCTTTCATGACAAACACTCTGCTGCCTTTTTTCTTTTGCAGCACAGCTCTGAGTCATTACACTCATTGGGAATACTTCCATGGAATAATGCTGTGAAAAGTAAGCTTTTATTTTATATTTATTTTATAAAGTTTTCTTTTTTAACAAAGGATTAATGTGAATAGGCTAATCATTTTAACACAGAAACCACTCACTGTGCTTTACTCTTATAAATAAAAGTTCTCTTACTGATACTACAAAATAACCAGTTTTAGTTTGCCAAAGATCCTTTAAGTGCATGTTTTTTATTTCTTAGTTTGAAGAATATATTAATGATATAGGAACATTTTTATACTATAAAGGATGGTTAGTGGAATGAAAAGGCTCCGTGGATGTTAAAGGTTATAGAACCATCAATGCCATTAAAGAAGATTTTACAGAAAGACAGTACTATCCAATAGTTAATGTTAATTCATGTATTTACTAACAAACATGAACAAACAATGAACGATACATTACAATATGTCATTCATTGTTTGGTTAACTCACAGTGCATTATTGAATGTAACTAGCTAAACTTTACATTTTAAAAATGCATTAAGGAAACACTTTAGCTTATGTCACAATTCATGCTATTTACAACTGCTAAATTACCTGCCTATTATTATGATATTAACTGTTTGTTAGTAGTTTGATAAAGTATGATCTTCTGCATCCCTAATCCTACCCCAAAACCAAAGCCAACTTCTACTTTACCAGCTATCAATAAACAGCTAATTATTAGTTTATTTAGCTAGTAGTGTTAGTTAATGGTTTGTTAATAGCATGAGTTGTGACCTAAACTTAAAGTGTTACTGCATTAATAAATGTTGAACTATGATTAATATGTTGTATTGCTCATTGTTTGCTCATATTAGTAAATACATGAACTAACATAATACCAACTTATTGTAAAGTGTGACGAAGAACCTTTTTATTTCAAAGTGGTTTCCTGTTGATTATTTACAGTTCATCAAGATAATTGTGAATGTAAATGTTATGTTATGGATGTTTAGTGAGTTTATGTAAGTGGTACTGAAGTGGAGATTTCTGGGTCATAATTATTACACAGTGTATATGTATAGATTTTTTTAAATCACACAATCAAATAAATGTATTGTAATTATTATCTATAAATGAAAACCAAGTGTAATAAAACAGTTAAATGTGTATTTTAGATATTTTCTTTTCAATAGTCTAAAGATGACAAATAGTGGAGGGAAAAGAGCACAAAACATCACACTCTCAAACCTGAACAGTACCTGAGAAATGCATTGTTTTTGCTTTACCTCGTGAAACTAAAATTGACTTTAAATCACACTGCTCCTTTTAAAATGAATTATAATCTGTGGAAGTTAATTGACTGAAATTCATCTTTGCCTTATAAATCTTCAGTTATATAAGCTAAAAATTTTCTTCTGTTCTGGAATGAAATTCTTTATTAAATCTAACAAGAACATCTTTTTAAATTTTCCTTCCAAAAGAGTCACCCATGTAAAGCCTGCAGGTTTTCATGAGGGTGAAAAATGTTGCTTTTTAAGTTTTGCTACAAGCTACTTGCGTGCTTGGAATACCATCGCTGTAAAGTACAGTACAAAATCTACATACTGTATATGTGACACTGGACTAAAATGTCTTGTTTTGCATAGATTTATTCTTGGAAATAGCCAAAATACGTTGCTTGAGTCTAAATGATTCATTTGTTTTTTATGCCAAAAATACTAAGATCATGTTCCATGAAGATATTTACAATTTTTTAAATATAAATAATATATAAAAACCCACTTTTTGATTAGTATTATGCATTTCTAAGCTTCATTTGGAAAGTTTTCCCAGTGTTAAATTTTTTTGAATCGTCAGATTCCAAATTTGAAGATATATGTACTTCAGCCAAGAATTCATTCATTCATTCATTCATTCATTCATTCATTTTCTTTTTGGCTTAGTCCCTTTATTTATCTGGGGTCGCCACAGCGGAATGAACCACCAACTTATCCACATATGTTTTATGCAGCAGAGGCCCTTCCAGCTGCAACCCATGACTGGGAAAAAGCCAAATATTGTCCAACCCTAATAAATAAAACATCATCAGAAATCTTTATAATTCAGCTTTAATTTCTGCATGAAATTCAAAATTCTCCTCCTTGCATTTAGATCCCTAAATATCCTAGCTCCCTCCTGTCTCTGCCACATGCTTGTCTTCTAAACCCCAACTCGTTCATTACGTTCCGCTGACTCTGGCCTTCTCTCTCTCCTTTGGTACCGCCCTCTTCAATGGGGGGCAGATCATTTAGTGTTATTGCACCCAAACTCTGGAACTCTCTACCATGCTCACTCCGTTCTGCTAATAATTACTCTGAATTCAAATCCTTACTTAAAACTCACTTATTTTCTGAATGCTTCTGATCTGTCAAACTGACCACCTTATCTGATCAACCTGCAATCTGGTTATTTGTCTCTTAGGTCTTGTTTTTGTATTTCCAGTTCGTTATATTTGACTTCCTGTATGTTTGTGTATCTTTTATCTGCTTGGACAATCTCTTTTGTCGCATTCTTTGTAAAGTTTCCTTGAGTTCTGGAAAGGCGCTATATAAATAAAAAATATTATTAGTATTATTAACTTGATGTATAAATGACAGTGTCTACAAACTGATACCTATAACCAGTGCTTAATTTGTAAATGAATAATTTCTGGAACAAAACCAGGAAATAAGTTACTGTCGTCTGCCACACAATTTCAGTTTACCTGGGACATGTTGTTACTGAGCAGTTATAGAGAGAAAAAATGCAAAACAGTTTGTGGATAAAAAACAAATAAAGATGTAACTACAAACATAAATCATTTACTAATTTTACTAACATCACTGACTTTCAGTTCACTTCACTATTATTTGCTAAGCAAAAATAACTAACTCTTTCTAGTCTTGAAGAAGAGCCCACAGTTAGCTCTTCTGTCATGTTTCCTGGCTGATTTGAGATCGATTTGCTTCTGTCTCCTGCTATCCTGATCCAGGGGTGCAGTTTCATTTTCTTGAGATCTCGTTTGAGATCTCGTTTGATCAGGCTCATTGTCAGATTTACTTGTGGTTTCACAAAAATGATATATGCTTGACTGCTTCTTTGGCATTTTAAAAATACAAATATTATTTAGATAGACCAGAATGCCATTATTTATTTTCGCTGCTCACTGTGCGCAAAACAATAATTAACAACCAATGAGAATTATTATAACAAACTGATCTTAACCAATCAAGAAAACTGATCAAAATTGAGTACCTTTATGTGTGTGCGAGCACAGAAAATCCACACAGCTTTGTTTGCTGCTTATCACTCGATTTCATTCACATTCTCTCTCACACATGCAGGTATTCACCACACAAAAAGTTAATGCCGGATCAATTAAAATAAATGCAGCAACACAAACCACTAATATCTGACATTTCCTGGAACAGGATCTGGCAAGATCCGATTCAAATTAAGCACTGTGACTGGTTTTGTGGTCCATGGTCACATATACTATTACACAAGCTATGCAAACCTTAGACAACAGAATGATTACACAACGCTGTAAAGTCTGTCACTCTACAGTAATTCTCAAAGAAACAGTTCAACTGACATCAATATTGGCTCGGCCTCAGCAGCTCACAGGTCTGCAAGGCTCACCGAAGCCTTTGATTAAATTCTATATTAGACCCCAGATCTCCACAGGATGGCCAGCGCACTAGACTGATCTCAGCAGGTTAACCACTTACATATTTCAGTCAATCACACAAAGACTCATTCTGTTCCAATGCTGTTTTAATTGAGCAGCAGGAGTCGCCACCAGGCCCTGATCCGATTCCTTCAATCTACACCTTCTCCAAAACAGATGTTCAGCAACGGATGACTGCCTTCGCCTCTGCCGAGACACTTTTAGGTGGAGAAACGCACATCTGGAGATGCCCACTATAAGTACAAACAGAAACCTGAGTGTTTTGGCAGACGCTCCTCCAAGGAAGAATCAATCAAGTGTTGGCTGTCGGACTTCAGCTCTGCCTCGTGTTTGTTGGGACTTTCAGCTCAGTTTGGCCGTGCCGTTTATAGTCTTGGCTGGGATTTTGATCTTGGTTTTACTATATTGGGTGCTTCTTCTTCGCCACAGGCTCCGCATCGCTCAGGCCGGAAATGCTCTAGAATATTTTGGTTTCTATCGCATGGCTCAGTATGATTTAAAACAGCCTAATATGCCTGTGGTTATGACTTCTCCTCCCCCTCCACCTCCTCCTCCTCCTCCACCTGTTTTTCATGTCACTCCACCTCCACCACCATTGTTATATGTGACGCCTCCCCTCATCCACACCACACCACCCAGTCCTCATCCATCATGTGGAACCGCTTCGGATGCAGAGGTTTACTCGCGGATTGGTGTCCTGCGACCCTCTAGACCTTGCAGTGTGAGTCAGACGCAGGTGATCCTGTTTGAACACTCAGCTTTTTGAGTCTTTCAAGTACAACTACAGCTGATTTCTTTACAGTGGCTACTTATTTTCAGGCTGTTTTGTTGAACAATGTAAAAAAAAAAGGTATAGATACTTATTTTGGGACTATGTCTTCAAGACATCTAGAATGATTACTATAAAGGCAACTTGACCCCTGCTTAAAAAAATCCAAGCATGTGCTGGTTTGATGTTAGTTTGAGATGGTTTTTGCTGGTGCTTTGCTAGCCATATTGGCCCTGGCTGAAACTTGAACTCAAAGATTTACATTAATTTAGGCCCATAGCCAGCCTGGTGAAAGGCTTGGTTGTTTTTTTCTCAAAGTCGGCGTTTTTTGAGTTACACGCCTCATTTTATATTTAATTATGAGATTTAAATAGATTTTAAGCACTATTCTTATCAGCCTTAGCTTGTCAGCTGGTCATCATAACCACACTTTGATGTATTAAAAATATTTCCTAAAGATTTAGAATAAAGAAATGAAGAGTTCAGATGCAAAAAAACTCTAGATGCCATCTAAAACTTTTCCGCACATTTCTCAGCCTCCTGTCTCGATTCATTAATTTCACTTTTACAGCAGAAAATAAGTTATTTTGATAGATTTTAATATAAAATAACTGAACATAAACATAGGAGGCAGAGAAAAATGCTCATTGTAGAAGAAAATTCTAGATGGCATTTAGAGGTTTTTGCATCTGAACTCTTCAAATATTTATCTTTAAAATACAAATTTATTACAGCATATATCATAAAAAATTTATTCATTTTAAATTAAAAACAAGCCTATTGTCATTTATTAGGCAAATAAATAACAAACTAGCATATTCAACTTTCCTCAGTCAGAATTTGGCAATTTGAAATAAACAAGTAAGTAAATAAATAAAAATAGATAAATTAATTAATAAATAAATATAAATAAATAATGAATACATTTAATTTAACAATGTAGAGCTGTTAATTTTCTAGACTCTCTTGTAAAAAAAAAAAAAAAGTACATTTAAAAATTCATAGATAAGAAAAATAGCCAAAATTGTCTTCCAATTAAATTTAATATGATCCACTTTTGGTGCTTCACACCTTTATATTGGTCATTATTTAGTGTCATGAATAAGGTCTAAGCAAAAAAAAAAAAGTTACTTGTAAACTGTTTTCTCTATTTTAAAAACAATACAGTAGTAAAAGATCATGTCACTTACATCAGATTGTGTGTTTTCTTGCACAGCTGGATGTTAGACTCATGAAAAATAATTGTTCGCATTGGTCAAAACAGATTAGCTGCTGAAGTCATGACAGCCAACACAGAATTAGGCTTGGTCTTAAAGCCTTTTCGATGGGTTATTTTCACTAATTACAATGACTTAGCAGTCAAAATAGGAAAAATTCTGGACCTTTGTCAGTGAGGGGTGGGTCTTTCAGACCAATCTAAACCCCCTACAGGCTTGAAATTGCACAATATTTCAATTTTTCCCCTTGTCTTTACATTTTTTATAACCTTTCCCCCTTTGTCTTGTTTCCACATTTACCATTTTTAAACGATGATATTATAGTTTCATTTAAGTAGTTTCTGACTTCAGCGTCATCCTTGGTCGACTAGACTAGTTGCTGCTCCTTGAGCCCATCAGTTAAAGAAAAAGAAGTTCTTTATAATTTGACACGTTTTAATTTTTTTTATTTGTGCTTTTTAATTTATTAATCTGTGACAGCAATACTTTGGGTGGAAAATTGATCTCATGACCATCAAAAAAAAAAAACAAGCTTTAAGAATCTGGAAGAACCAGCTCATGACCAGCAAAGAACTAGCTTAAACCAGCATCCAAACCTACATTACAAGCATATGCAGTTTTCTTTCAGCAAGTATTAGCATTCGCATGAGTGACCACCAACTCTGCATGTCTCACCTACTCTTCCATGTCTCCTTAACCAAACAGACCTGATTCAGATTATCAGCTTATTAGCAGAGACTAAAAAGACCTGTAATGGGTGTGACAGACAAAGAACACATGCAAAACATGCAGTGTTGGTGGTCCTCCAGGAACATGGTTGCTAGATTATTTCACTTCAGCCATAGAAAAAATCAACAACATGAAACCAGTTTGAAATCTCAATAGCAGATCATAAAGACACACTGTTTTGTAGTAAAATCAAGTGGTAGTTCACCCCAAATATTTAATTTTGCTCTTAATTTTATTATGTTAATGAGATTATTTTCTTCAATGTTTTTTTCTGAAAACCTGCTAATGGTTTATCATAAAATGTCAAAAACACATATGCAGGCAAAATAAATGAATACTCATGGCTCCCGATGATACATCATGATGTTGTATTAACGATCTGTGCAAGAAATTAATAAATATTTACAATATTAACTTAGATTATTAGAGTATGTTCCTGATACATTTAAATGTTGGTGTAAACTACCCCTTTTACCTGTAATTTTCCAAATGTGTTACATGTAAAAGCTTTCAAGTGTTGTCTGTGTGAGGAAAACTAACAGGAAGGGGGTTTATTTTGAAACAACATATTCCTCTTTTTCCTGAATCTGCATTGTAATTTCCTTTAAAGGGTGGGATTTCCTGAGGAGACTTTCCATTGCTTTGTTCCTCTCTGCCTCTTATAACGTTCGTTCTCTCTCACTAAGTAAATATCAAATAATCAAGTATAAAAATAAAGTTTTAATATCTATGTTGATTTTTTAATATGTTTTAAAATGTCATTTATTTCTGAGATGGCAAATCAGTCATTACTTCAGAGTGAATAAACCTTCAGTAATCATTCTAATTTGTTGATTTGATGCTGTTCATGTTGTGCTGTTTAATATTTATTAAAGAAAGCCGACTTAATCATGAGTCTTTGATAAATAGAAAGTTTTTAAAAGAACAGCTTTTGAAGCTGAAGTCTTTTCTACATTTCTTCACTGTCTTCTTTGATCAGTTTAATAATAAATCTCTGACCCCACACTTTTCTGAATATATTATTAAATCTATAACAGTGTCATCAGTGAAAACGCGAGTCTCTGTGTAAATTACAGCACACCACAGCTGCGCTTATGTGTTGTTCATATACAAATGTGGCCACAAAGTAGATTTGAATAATTGATGATTCTCCACCACTTCCCTTTGCCGATAATGTATAATTTAGCATTGTTAAATAGCTGTGAGAGGAATATTGAAGAGCAAAAGTTCTCAAGCTTTTTATGATTTTTAAAAACAACTTGTTTTACTCAGTGCAGATTAAATCATTATAGATTAGTGATATTCAAATGATTGATTATGTTAAAAACTACTATTATTACAGTTGTTCTGTCCTGATTAATGAGTTTGTTTTTGGGTTTGGTCAGATTTAAATGCTTCTTCCTGTGTAACTGCGGTAGTCCATCCTGTGAGTGTGATAAAAGATGTTGTGTTTGTTTATAGCTTAAAACGATTCTCTAATTTTCAGTATTACTTTTTATAGTCTGCTGGAACTTCTTTGCCTGTTTTTCAAAGTGAAGCCGTGTAGTTATACACTATACCTGACAAAAGTCTTGTCATCTATCCAAGTTTTAGGATCAACAAATTATAACTTGACTTCTAGTTGTTCATTTGGTATCAGAAATGGATTGTATAAAAGGCAAAGGCCTCTAGATTACGCTTATTTTACCAAAATAAAATAGGATCATGCCTTGACTTTTAATTATTTAATTATGACAGTAAGGTTCTGACTTTGCTCAGACATAAGTCTTGTCACTAAACAGAAATAATCTACAGTATTGAATATAAAGTCATGGTGCAGTTGAAAAAATTATTAATACTGTGTATGAATCCCATGAGAGTGGAGGACTGCATCCATACATTTCTGCAATGACTCAAATAACATATTAATAAAATGATATGGAATGCCAAAGTAAGAGTCCTTGCAGGACTCCCAGAGTTCATCAACATTCTTTGGATTCATCTTCAATGCCTCCTCCTTCATATAACCTCAGTTGTAACCCCGCCGGGTCCTACGCTACCCAACCCGCTCTGAGCTGGTATTGAACCAGCGACCTTCCGTATGGGAGTTGGTTGCTCTAACAAGGAGGCTAAAGACCATAGCCTCTAGCATCTGTCGCTAGAGCACCTTTAGAGGTCAGAGGAGTGAGGTTTACCTGCACAGCACACACTAGCTGGCCTCCGTTACACAGACATGCTCAATAATGTTCATGTCTGGTGACTGGGCTGGCCAATCCTGGAGCACCTTGACCTCTTTCGCTTTCAGGAACTTTGATGTGGAGGCTGAAGTATGAAAAGGAGCACTATCCTGCTGTATAATATAATGGTGCCATATAATACACCAGTCATATACCATATAATTACCATATAATGGTAATCTTGTTTTCTTGTGGTTATCTCCCTATATTAGCATTGTGTAAATACATAGCACAGCAAAACAACTTTGCAGAGTGAGTAATCTGCTAGTAGTTACTGTGTTTTTGACTTCTGGAATGACTACTGCAGATGAAATCTTGTATGACGTATGAGCTTGCGAAGACTTAATGATGTGCGGGTGGTGTCCCATTTCTTAGGGGAATATTTTCATCCCTTCACATTCTGTCTCAACGAACAATGGCAAGCTGTAGGTGTATTGGTATAAAACAGAATTGGAACCGGGTCTTAGTCTTGGTTTAGATGCTTTTGACTATAAATGACGGTAAACTACAAACCACTGAATGTATTGTACTCATTTCATCTGTCAAAAAATAAATAAATTCCACCCTGACTAAGTCTACTGTGGCTCATACGCACGAGACGAGGCTTTGGTTCAGCATCATCTGCACTTTTCTTCTCTTTCATTTCCTGCCTCCTCTCAGCTGCCTCTTTCATTAAAATGGCAAAAGCCCAAAACTAAAATAACAAAGAACAATAAATCGCAATTTTCATGAATACAGCCTGGCGGGAAAAAGGCTGTTGTTTTCCATAGCATGGGGACACTTTTCTTTTACCTCAGTGGTGATTTTGAATGAAGTGGTTTGGAAATATTACCTTTCATATGTGCTTTAACTGAAGCTGGAATAGCGGCACCTGCCACCTCTGGGAGAGCTTTCGTTGACACACACTCAAGCTGTGATTGTGAAGAGCAGAACTGCTGTGTGTGTTTGTTGGTTTATTGCAGGTCTGTTTGACAATTGTTGGCACTGGGCACAAGAAGTTTTTTTGTTTGTTTTTGTTTGTTGTTGTAGTTGTTGAATGGCTGAGCTGTGGTCTTGGGTTTAAACCTTTGTATCTTGCCCGCTGTGAAGAGACGTCCTCTGGAGAATCAGCCATCAGCTGCCTGGATTATATGAGACTATCCAGAATCTCTTCTTTTGACGGTGCATCTGCTTCTCATAACTCTTAGTAGAAAACCTGAGAAAAGCTGCATTTTCTGCATCATCACTGCAGTCTTGAGTCACATGATCCTTTACAAATCATTTAATGCTTTTATTTTTAATGTTCAAACAAGACTTTGTATTCAAACTCTGAAATTTGGAAGCATAGAAGGCTTTATTATGAAACTTCAGGTTTGGTTTTCAGGCCAGTAGGCAGGGAGGGGGTTAAGGTGGTTTGAAAGACTCACCCCCCTACTAACAAAGTCAAGACTTTGGCCCCTATATGTGCTTATTTGTTCGATTTTTAACAGTATGCCATCATAAACGGTCAAAATAACTGATAGAAGAAATCTTTAGGACAAATTTAAT